GTGACACGGAAGGTTTGCCTGAGGTTTATTTTCCTCTTCTAAAAAAGGATGTCTTTTTCTGTTAATAAACAATTCTAGAACTTTCTAAAAATTTTGACTCAGATATATAAATAGTGGTAAAATATATGATAGGACAAATAACAACACATAGTGTCACGACAAAATTCTAACTGTGTAAAAGAAATACTCGAGATTCATCATTTGGTTTTTTTGCTGTAAAACAGGTAATGATTCTATTTCTTTATATTCCGACTAGAAGATTTTAATATATACAATTTTATTTAGAATCTGGAAATTCTTGTTCTACACTTTTCTTGATATGACAATTGACGGTGTAACATTACTGTATGAAGCATCTTCACATATAAAAGAACATGTTTATTTAATTACAACTCTCGACTGTTGAATTTAATGTCAACTAGATGTAACTCTGCGTTTTAAGAATATTATTGAATTACTGAAGATGGCCAGATTGTGGCCGAAACGTTTAATGTTTTAATTAATGTAATAATAATTAAATATCACAAACTATAACTTGTGCTGTGGTTTTTTATGCTCTTATTTTTTATATGTGTTAATTTTTAAATTATTTTAATTTTTTTGGAATAAAAAAAAAAGAATAATTAACCCTTTCAGATGTACATTGAATGTATACATCAAATTTAAAAACGTTATCTGTTGAAATTATTTAATTCTATCGAATATACATGACGTGAAATCTGATCTATATAATGATGTATATGTTGAAAAAATAGTCAAAGTTTTGAGAAAAAAATAATTATTAAAGATAAATTACTTCTTAAAGTGTGCATGAATCGAATTTAAATTAATTTTGTTTAACATAGTTCCAATAAAATCAGGTCTAAAAGTTTTAGATGTTAACAATAGCAATTATATGTTATTTTATTGTAGTTTATAAAATAATTCTGTTTTACATACAAATAGAATGTTACAAATCACACATGATTTCAATTTTACCGTTTCAATCTATAACTATAAAAGTGTATACAGTGGAAAGAAAATGCAAAAATTGGAACGTTATTGAAGATAATTGTATGTTTTGTGAAAACTTGTGATAATGATTTTATAATTTAATCATAATGTATTATAATTAAATTTTTCATGCTAAATCGCAACGTCATGCGATCTTGTAAAATATTGAAAATTCTGTGTGATATGAATGAGATGCAAGTATAGTAATTTTCATTTTTCAGATTATAAACAATCCAGTGCTACGTTCGAAAATGTTACTCTAGTACTCCCTATATACTATTTTTTATCTTTGTTATTAACCTTGTGTTAAACAAGAGAAAAAGATACGAGAGAATACTTGGGTGTTTCCAAATATAGTTCAGGAAGAAAAATAACACCGTTTGCTGCGGGCTTAATAATTGTAGTTTTAATTATAAGTTATTAATTATGAATTATGTCGCAAAAATCTCACCGCCTACAAAAATCTGCATAGATTCTAATTATAACATATTGTTGTACATACTTAGTCTATTATAGTCCTGGTAAAAAAATTTTCATAAATATATACGTCTAAATATTTATAAATATACATAAACATGTATTAATTTAAAATAAACGTATGTACTTAAATATATATAAAATATATCTATACATGTTTATACATCCTTCTTTTTTTTTTGTAAAATTATTTTTTGGTGTAATAAAAAAAAATAATAATAAACGTAAAAAATTAGAAAGATAATTTTTGCATTATATATGTTTAAAAAATCAAGTTTGGTGAAAAAAAATTGTTCATACATATGATAGATGTGGCAACCTAGCCAAAAAAAAGAACTCAAATCAGCTGACCAGAGCATCACCTGGTGGTCTTTTCCGGAAACTTTTTGATCAAGCTGGTATCATTGAAATTCATTCTTTGTATGAAAAAAACTTGTTTCATTTTACCTTCAAAAACCGAACGAATGGATCCACCCAATATAATTTTATGTGTATATATATATATATATATATAATTATATTTTAACATTTCTCCAAAAAAATTTAATTTTTTTTTTAACACAACGTGAAAATTATGCTTTTAATTACTTTTGATGTTTTTTCGTTATTATTATTACTTTTATTACACTAAAAAATAATTTTACAAAAAAAAAAGAGAATGTAAAGACATCTTTCTTATATAATCAGGTATATGTATATATTTATGAATATTTATACATGTATGAATATTTATATGTATGTTTATACATATTTATAATCACGCAAAACAATTTTTTGCAAGGTTCTTACGACTTAATCAGCTTAATGTTTAAAACTTAAACTTTACGTCTTAAAATCTTATTAGAAATGTTGCTAATGCGAGACCAATGCTAAAATGATAATTAACATCATGACAAATCTGCTTTTATAGCAATCAACAATCATTTATAAATAAATAATTTATATTGTTTAATTATCAGTAATGCTAAATCGAATTATACAAGCTGTGACTAGTCAAGTAAAAATTAATTTTTAATATAAATTGTTAATTATATCAAACTTTTAACATCTCACTTACCTTTACAGCTTCTCTCTCTCTCTCTCTCTCTCTCTCTCTCTCTCTCATATTTGTTTTATAATAGATCCTTTGTAACAGCTAATAAAAATAAAAGGAATATGTAATGTAAACTAAACAAAAATTTTAAAATATAAAAATAATAAGGAAGTGAAACTGGAAAGGAAATTTAGCAAAAAGTATCAATGTTTCTAAGTCAATACATGTTTGATAATATACTCATGTTCACATACAGGACAACCTTTATTACTTAATGCTTATTAGTCACAATATAATACTACGAATTATTACAATATTAATAATATTATCATAGTCATAATAGGTCATAATTTTTAATATATATGTGTATATTTATATGTATACTTATATGTGTATTTGTAATATAATTAATATACTTATCTATACCTTGTTGTTATATAATACACATTCCTTTTTCTTACATTATCACTTATCATATATAGATATAATGTGTATATAGATATAGATATATATTTATATATATATATATATGCATATATATATATATACGTCATCAGGATGGTATAAATAATATTGTATTTCATAAAAGCACTTCTTGTTGCTTATAATATTATCGTTTTCATATTGTTTTTCTATCTCTGTTAATGCCTCTCTTTCTCAACTTCTCTTCATTCTCTCTTCATTCTCTTCATTCTTTACCCCTCATTTCATATACTGCTTACATCTTTTTTTTTTGACCTTTTACTTTCATTCTTATGTACACTCTTTTTCGCTC